GTCTAACAGAGGGCCACGGGGGTGGCAGTGGGGTGGACTGGCCAGGACACAGACCCATAGCTAGCATTTGCATGAATGGTTAGCCTGCAAGGTCTCAAGGAAGCCATCTGTCCCCTATTCATTTTGCTGTTAACTCCAACATGACTCTAACAAAACCCACTGGGTGGTATGACCACAAAATTCACAGATGAGGTAGTCAGGGTCTGGAGTGCTGGCTGCCACTGAGTGGGTCCTTCATTTTCAGTGTCCCTCTATATGGTAGACAGTCTAGTGTGGAGAGTGGGGTGCTGAAGCCGCTCCCAGGAATAGGAAAGGCCCTTACAGGATGGTGGCTGGCCCAGGGTCAGGAGGTGGGGTTGATCTCACCAGCAGGTAAACAGGAAGTCACAGGGATAGGCTGATGCCCTTGCTGTGATTATGTCATTGCTTCTGGCCTATCAGGTAGCGCTGGGTGGACCCACTGGGAGAAGTGATTGGTGGAAAGCAGTATAAAAGCAGCCGCTAAAAAGCAATAAGATGGACGGGATGAAGGACAGGGAAGTAGAGAGGGATATAAAAGCAGTAAGACCTCCAGGGAGAAGAAAGGGGCAGCAGAGAGGGAGAGAGAATCCAAGACGTATGGAGAGAAAAACAGTGGAGAGAAGGGAAAGCAGCAGAAAGAGGGGTATAAAGGCCTATGGGGAGAAAAGCAATAAGACCTATAGGCAGAAGAACGGGGCACCAGAGAGGGGTACAAAAGCTGTAAGACCTACAGGTATAAAAGCAGCGGAGAGAGTGCTAGAAAAGCAGGGAGAAAAGCTAAGACCAACAGGGAAAAAGGCAGTGGAGAGAAGGTATAAATGCAGCCGCTTTTGGCAATAAGGGGTCCGGTTGCGGTTCTTGTTTTTCCTGACCCTCAAAAGTGTGCCTCGTCATTAGTGTCGCTGCTGGTCGGCGACAGTCTAGCCCTAGGATCTAAAACCAACATATCCAGCATACTCCAGTGAGGCAGGTACATATCCCCATTTAATGGACGAGTGACTGAGGTCCTAGGAGAGCTTCCCTGGCGTCTCTTTGCATTCAACAGTAGAATAGCCCATTAGACCCAGGGAGCCAGGCTCCACAGCTCTTGCCCTCCACACTGTGGCTCCTTTGGAACAGAACAGGGAGTGACAAGACTGCTGGCAACACTGAAAATCCTGGTCTGTCCTTCTGGGTCTTTGGGATAGTGCTCTGAAGCCAGGGTGGATGGCTGAGGTCTGAATGAGCACTGGAGGGATTATGCTGGCCCTAGGCCTCCTGCTGGACTTTGAATGGAGCCTGTGCTAGAATGACAAATCAGCAGAGCTGCGCTCAGACATCTGGCAAGGCTGGGCATCTTTCCAGGTACTTACTCAGGCCTGGCTTGGACACACCTTGGTGCAGGTGGACCAGTACCCTAGGGAAGGAAAGGGTGGCTAGATAGCTTCCGGGAGGCATGGAGCCTCTCCCCCACCCACCTTGGGTCCTCTGTGTTCTCTGAGGACCCAGCAGGGGATGCACAGCAGGTGTCCAGCTGAGAGCCAAAATCCTCATTGCCTGGTAGTCTGGGGAGGCCCAGGAACAACCTGCAGGAAGAACCCTGACTTAGTGGGAGGAGGAAGGAGGGTTTCCCTGCACAGAAGTCTTGCAGGCTTCTGGGACTTGGGAGTTGCCTGGCCATCAGAATGTGGGGAGCTGGGAGGGGACTCATCTCCCCCAGATTTCATGGGACTTTGTTCTGTGCCAGTACACTGACTGTGTACCAGGCCCTGTGCATAGACAGAGCCCTTGGGTCCCAGTGCTTAGGCCTGGGGTTGGGCCCTGGCTATCCCCACTATTATTCAGTTTTGTCCATACTATTGCCATCCTTGGGGTCTCCAGTTCACCCACAGCTAAAACAAGGTAGGCAGGCTTGAGCTTGGAGGCTCTGGTCAGCTGTGGCATTCTTGGTTTGGGAGGATAGTTGCTATGCAGGGTGGGCCACTGGTTGCAGGCATGGCTGAGCCAGGAGACAGAGCTGCCCATGGCACTGGGTCCACAGGTTTGGCAGAGAGGACCCACAGTGTCGAGGTAGAGCCTGCTGCATCCTGATTTTACAGCTCTCCTATCTGAATCTATTTGCAGGCCTGGGCAGGGACCAGGACAGGTATATCTCCAGTCCTTCGTTCACCTACTCATTCTTTCATTCACCCACTGCTACCATATGCATGCAGCTTGGGTACTTCCCCCAAAAGTTCAGGTACTAGAAACTGGGTGGTAGTGGGACTTTGAGAGGTGGGGTTCAATAGGGTGAGGTCCTTGGGTTACTGGGGCATTGCAGTTGTTACAGCCTCCTGGCCCATCTCACCCTGTACATGCACATCTACCACAATGCCACCTGTCATGAGCTGACACAGCTGGGGAAGGACTTTTGGCCTCCACGATCCATGAGCCAAATAAGCCTTTTTCTTTAGAAAACACCTAACCTCAGAGATTTTGTTATAGGGCTGGGTAATTGTAGTTATACTCTTTCAACTCACTAAATGCTTCCAAGACCATAACAATGAGTAAGGGCTGCCTGCTGCTCTACAGCCAAGGGCAGGGCACGAACAGGCCCTGCATCCCTCCTAGGCTGCAAGGCAGAGTAGTCTGGAGGCGAGGAGGATACTTGGGGATGATGGATGCTTAGCCTGGGACATGTCCTGTTCATATGAACAGAATGAACAGGTGAGAAGTCTTGCTGGTGGTCTGTCAATAACACTGGCCAGGGGGTGACTGAATATTGGAGCTAGGAGACCCTGAGGCCAGGCATGATGGCTGTGTGCTGGCCTGCTGCCTGCAGGGCCGTTTATGTCTGCACGAACTTGGAGCTTTGGGAAAAGCAGGTTTCTGGTTAGGGAAGCTAGCACATGCCCTGGAGTTTTTCTTGTCTCTAGACTCTCCCCTGCTTCCTGGTACAAAGCAGATGAGCTGGTGTCTGACCCCTGCAGGCCAGGGGTGACTCTGATCCTGGGCCCTGGGGCAGGGGTGCTGGCTCCCCCACGGACTGTGTAGTGTGGGGGCTCCTCCTAGGCCTGGGGTATAACCTGGGGGCTGGTTGGTTCTCCTGTACCTAGTCCAGTACAGGACTTGATAAGGAGGCTGGAGGGAGGCAGTTGGACAGTGAGAGAGTAAGGGAATTGGGGTATACCTCCTTGTAGGACCTACCCAGGCTGTCCTGAGTCTTGCCAGGCCCCTAACTGGGAGCAGTGCTGGAAGTGACCTGGCCCTCTCTGTGCAGCTCAGCCAAGGGTCAGTACCTGCTGGCTCCCCCAGGAAGCTTTCTAGGCTGGCCTGCAAGAATCCCACCCTTGTCAGAAGCTTGTATGTAAGCAGCTGTCAAGCCAGAGCTGGCTCTTCTTGTTCCAATGAGGAAATGATGGGTGTAAGACAGGAAAGGGCTTGCCAGAGGCCACCCCAGGCCAGAACAGGCTTGAACAGGAACACAGAACACTTCGCATACAGCAGCTGTGACCTGTGTCCGCTCCTGGGCCCCGCCCATTGCCCTTCACTGCACTGAGGGCTACACAGGAGGAAGACAGACCCCTGACTCTCGCTCTTGAAGGATTTGGAATTGAATTGGAATGTAGGGAAGGCGAGAGCTTCAACAGCGGGCATGCCCCACTATGAATCAGAATGTTCTCAAGGAAAGGCCCTGTTCACAGGACCTGGAGGACAGTGTGCAGGTGACAGGCCCTGGGAGAGAAAGACAAAGGCTGCAGAACTGGGTGCCACAGCAGGTACTGCGAGCAGTTCTAAAATTTTCACAAAGCAGGTGATGACATGAACAACCCAAACAGCAGGTGACAGAAGACATTGGTGTTGATTGATATCAGCTACTGAACAAAAGCTGTCTCTAAAAGAAAAATAGAACATTTGGTCCTAATGTAGATCCGGCTGTTGACGACAAAGACAGTTGCAGAGAAGGAAAGGGGGAAAAAGGAGAAGAGGGAAAAGAGGCAAATGAGCAGGGAGAGAGAGACTGAGTGGCTCTGGCCCCTGACTTTGTAAGAAGAGGGCCCATCCACTAGAACAGAGTGTCAAGTGCAAGGTTCCACATTGCAATACAGATACCTATTATTCATTATTATAATAATTTCCTGTAACTGTTCTGCCTTTTGAGTTCCTTCCACATAGTCCATTATTTAAACCACCTTTACAATGTTGTACAAGGTGGGTATTTTCCATTCATCAAATAGTTATTGTAATCACCGCCCATTTATAAAGCGGGAACAAGCCTTGGCCAAGGGCCCAGCTCAGGTGCAGGGCCTGGGCCAGGCTCTGAAGCTGTGAGTGGAGGCTGCTGCTGCTGGGCCATGCTGCCTTCCTGGCTTTGGCCCTGGCTGTTGTGGGTGGACATGAGGTTATGCTGACCCAGGTGAGCTGGTGTCACCTCTGGGGTCCCAGTATGACTACATGATCTTGATAAGGGACTGAAACCCAACCTCTCTGGCGGCTTGGATGAGAGGTGGAGATCATCAATTTTTGGGTTCCCATTGAGCTTAAAGTCTCCTCATCCTGGCTTTTATAATTGCAAATCAACCTCTTACTAGAATTAGTGCAGTCCATTGAGGGAGTAGAGCAGGCAGCCTTACAGGGTCCCTAAACATAAGATTCATGAGGTCATTCATCTCCCAACTGGCCCTAAGGAGGTTCTGTCTTGTCTGGAGGGGTCCTCTTTTCCAGGAGTCGTAGTCCCTAAGCAAAAAGGAACTTCAGCTTGAATCGAGTCTGGGAGTTCCACAGCAGTTTGGGCATCTAGATGAGGGGGTATTATAACCAGGACCCTTCCCTTGTCCATGGAGAGCCTTGGTCAGGAGCAGGTAGGTGATCTGCTTTGGGTCTCTGCTGCTGAGAGCTGGGTGGCTTTTCCTCCCACCCTGGAGGACCTTGACTTGTCCCTTTGAGGAAGAGGCTAGGCTTTGAGTCTAGCAAACCTCCCCAGATCCCTTGCCCATGCTTTTCCCCACGCTGGTCCAAACCTGCTCCGAAGGCAAAGAAGCAGATCTTGTCTTCATTCTCCCGCAGAAGTGCCATGACCCGCTTCCCCATGCGCTCGTTCCTCTTGTGGATGAGCTCCTGGCGGAAGTAGCTGTCAATCTCCTGGGCGGTCACCTGTTCATGTGGCGGAAGTGTGGTGTTGATGAAATTGGGCAGCTGCAAAGGTAAGACAGAGGCTGCTTCAGTGCTGGGTGGGGCATAGTCAGAGCCGGGTTGGGTGGGTGGGTCCATGCTAGCCCCAACAGTAGGTGATGGGTCTCTCATGACTTCCAAGAATCTCTGAGGCGAGAGCACTGCCAGATCAGGCTGACAGCAGAAGCCTGGAGGATCTCCAGGGCTATGTGAAAGGGATCCAGGGTGGGAAGAGCAGGTTGTGAGCCTCCCAGGGTACTGTGCAGCACGCCACATGGCCCGCCTTGCCCACTCAGCTTGCATTTGCCAAGGTTCCAGGAGGCTTGGGCAGTGCTCAGCTCCTGAACTGCCCTCCCTTGGCCTCAGGGTGGGGAGGGGCACCCAGGGGGTCTGCTGTGGCAAAACAGGAGTGCACTGCAGGGTCAGGATGACCTGCATTTCTGTCTCCGTTCCAGTGTGAGGTGGTGCTGGGAAGGTTGCTCAGCTTTCCTGAGCCCTGGCTTTCTCATCAATTAGAAAGGACTGCCAGTGCTGTGGAGATTAAATGAGATGGTGGGTGCCACCACAGCTGCGTCTGGCCATTCCCACCCCCATAGAGATGAGAGAGGGAGTCACCACCTTTGTTTTTGCCAATGCCTAAGTCACCATCTACAGCCATTCTTGTTTCTCCCCATCCCTGGCTCCACCACTGCCCAGGATATAAGCACAGTTTTACCTGCCCGTCCCCAAACCAGCCCCCCTCACTCCACCCTGATCAGGATGGCTTGTTCAGCAATCTGTCTGGGAAGTGGCTGACTTCCTCAGCTCTGGGCCCCTCGTCATCACTCCACTCTCTGTATGCAGCAGCCTTATGGTCCAATGACAGCATCACCTGCACACCCTGAACTGGGCAGAGAGCACCCCAGATTCAAGTTCAGAACCTTTGCAATCTCAGATGGTATCTTGAACTTGAACATGATGTTGTGCTGTTCCTGACCAGAACTTCCCCTCCTGGGCTTTGTGTTCTGCCCAAAGGCATGTCAGATGTTGCAGCCCCATCCTGCCAGCATGTGTGGACTACAGAGAGAACAGAGGCAAGGAGTCAGAACATATTTCTGCTTTCCCCACAACCCATCACAGTCATGCTGGCCCCCAAGCTGTCATCATCCACTTGGCATGCCCTTTTCCATTTCTCCAACTTCACCTGCTTGGGTGCAAAGTCCAAGACCCTAGCCTCATGGAGGATGAGATTGATGGAGTCTCTGGCATGAAGAGATTGACTTCCCATAGACCTTAGGCCCCTAAAGACCCATTCATCCCATTAGAGCCACTGCTGAGCTATCACCTCTCCTTCTGAAGACAAGGGAGGGGGCCAGTGGAGGCTGAATCCTGCGGGACTTTGAGGAGTCTGGGACACCAGCCTCTGCACTCTGCTATCCCAGAGCCAGTGGGAACTCCGGAGTGATAGGAGAGGTACAGATGCATGTAGTGTGGCACTTTTATTTCAGAAAGACCTGGTTTGCTGTTTTGGGATGAACAAGACAATGACACGACCAGTGTCCCTAAACCTGTATAGTGTACAGCCTGTGTAGCTGTACGCAGCAGCCCTGATCATGCTCAATTAAGGCCTGCACAGACAGCTGAAGTCAAACAGCCAGGGTGACTTAGGTTGAAATCCCCCATTTGCTGTGTACTAGAAAGTCACTTGGCCTCTTAGACATTGTTTCCAAACTGGTAATTTAGGGGTACTATATGTTGTGGTAGGGATCTAATGTGTTTTGCAAAGTGCTTACCACAGTTCATGGTACAAAGGAGGCCTTGACACCAGCTCTTACGCACCCAGCCTGGGGAATGGAGCTGGCTTCACTACCTTCTCTACTGTCAGCAAAAGGAGGCCTCAGGCAAGGGGCAGAGATCAGACACGAAGGAAAGGCAGCGTTCTGCTCCTCTCCCTCTGCCAAGGCTCTCTGGGGGCTATGGACCACCCCCCCACACTATCCCTGCCTTGCTTGCTGGCCACAGATGCGTACTTGTGCAAAGATGAATTCCCATTCATTCCTCAAGGAGCTGAAGAACATGAACAGGGACAAGCACCACAAAGTTCAGTTTCAAGCCAGGTGGGCACTGGGCCAGATGCACAGGTTCCCTTGGCTGCCCAGTCTCTCCACGTACCTCATGCTGATAGGCTTTGGCTCCTGGCCAAGGATAGAGGCCTGGGTTTGGGCCAGGGCTGGGTGGACGCAAATTAATGATGTCATTAGGAACGTCAGGGGGCCTTAAATCTCCAATGACATGTTTAAGTGCAGGATGCACAATCACATTTTCAAGAAGACTTACAAGGCCTCCAGGGCCCTGGGTGAGCAGCATGGGGTTGGGGCTGAGAGGTGGACTTGGGTGTAGGTTCCTTGACTTGCATAATCCACCAGGGCACAGTGCCGGCCCTGTAGCCATTTCTGGAGGTAGGACCAGGGAAGTGGCAACACACCCTGTGCCCCCAGTGTGATCAGCCTGATCTGTGCACCTGCCCCCCAGTCTCCAGGAGCACCTCATCATCTCCCATGCCACTCCTGTTGTGATACCTAGATCTGTCAGTCCTCATCAGGCATCCTTGTCCTGTGTGAACTGACCTCTGCCTGCAGTTTGCTCCTCCAAGAGCTCCTACCTCCCATCCCCTCACCCTGCTCCTACAGCCTGCTGTGCTGTCTGCTCCATCCTTCCTCCCCACCTGAGGGACTCTCAAACCTGTCCCCTTTTCCCTCACTGTAGCTCTGTAGTTTCTGTGAAGTTTGAGGCCTTGAGCTGTGGGTGCAGCCCCATCTTGGCTGGGTCCTAGTGGCCTCAGCTTAGCTACTTTCACTCCAAGTTTTCTCTACATTTGAGGATTGCCTAGCCCGTCTTCTAGGGGCAAGGTTATGACTGTGTCCCCTTTGTGTGCAGCCTGGGGTGCTGTTCCATCTGGGCAGACCAATCCTTCTACCCTCTGTCCCTCTTCCAGTGTGGGCTCTGACTGCTGACCCACCCACCCACTTGCCTGACACAGCCTCTGTGTGCCACAGACAAGCCATTGCCTCTGGACAGGGCTCAGACGCTGAGCCTGCCATCCCAGAGGTCACCTACCCCTTCCTTTCCTGGCTGAGGGGCAGCCACAGCCCAGCCAGGGACCTCTTCTGTCTAACAGCCTCTCAGGTGACCACACAGGCCTTGCTACAAAGTGGGTGACCCAGGCAACTCCCACAAGCTCACAGTGTAAGCCTTCCTTCTCCTCCCTTGAGTCAGAGCTCCTAACAAGCCTGCATCTCCTGGGGGATGGTTCTGTTTCTTCTCTTTTCAAAAAAGACTGATTTAAAAGACAGACAGAGGGAGAAAGAGAGAGAGAAAGAGAGAGAGAGAGAGAGAGAGAGAGAGAGATATTTTGTATCTACTAATTCACTCCCCACATGGCCACAACAGCAGACCCAAGCCCCAAGCCAGGAGCTGTGAGTTCTATCCAGGTTTCCACGTGGGTGGCAGAAACTCAAGTACTTAAGTCATCACCTGCTACTTCCCAGGTGCATTAGCAGGGAACAGGGTCAGAAGCAAAGTAGCTGGAACTGAAATACACACTCTTACATGGGATGTGGGTGTTCAACCAGCGGCTTAACTCCCATGCCACAATACCAGCCTTGCTGTTTTCTCTTTTGACCTCACAACCCACCAAATGCACAGCACACCTGTACTTGACAGTAGCTCACTGCACATACTGTGTGTTGGCCAGAGCTGGGGAGCAGGAGCCGAGTGGCACACCCTTGCCTATGAGGACCATGGTCTGGTGAGTGTCTCCAGCCCTGACCCCTCTTCCTGCTATCTATGGACCTTGGCTCATTGCACAAGAACTTCTTCTCTGGGACATTCTTCCTGCTCTTATCTGTGGCCAACTCAGGTTCTTGCAGGCATCATTCCTTCTGTCTGTTTCCTGGTACCAGCCCCTCCTCCAAGCCCACACACACAAGGCATTCTTGTCATGGGCTCCTCTTCTTCATTCTCTCTTCCCAGCCTACCCACAGCCAGGGCTACACTTGGCTGCAGTTTCTTGTAGAATCTTCTGTCTTTCCTATGGAGGCTGTGGAGCCCTCCACTAGGACAGCTCTCCCTGGAGATGCCCCTTTTCATGGCTCCGTGTCTGACATTTGTAAACTACTTCATTCATTCAAGCTAATACTCTAGGCTGGGGTCTGCTCCAGCCAGTCAATACATTGGTGAATAAAGCCAAACATATTCTTGCCTCTGGGGGGTTCACATTCCAGTGAGAAAAGGTAGAATAGTAACACCTGCAGCAGGTGCATGGTGTGTTAGGAGATGATGTTGGGACCACAGAGAGGGGAACTGAGAGTGCAGGGATGGGGTGTTCAGGCTGTAATCCTCCACAGGCAAAGGAAAGGAAGCCATGGTGATGCCTGGGGAACAATGTTTCTGGCAGGGCCAAGAGACCAGGAACCTGTAGCTAAATATGTAAGAGAGGCAAGCAGAGATGGGCTGGGCAGTGGGGGTGGAGCATAGGGTAGGTGGGCTTTTAACTTGAGAAAGATGGGGAGCCCTGGAGTTTTCTGAGCCAAGAAGTGGCCTACTCTGCTGCATTCCACAAATGCATGGCCAACCACCTCAGTAGAGGTGACATGGGGGCCTTGGGAAGCCTGGAGGAACATCTTAATCTGGGGCACCAGCAAAGTTTCTTGGAGAAGGCAGGACTGGCCCAACCATGGCCAACTGGAAGGGTTCTGGGGGTGAAGAGCATGGACAAAGGCAATGTTATCTAAAAGAGTCCTTTTAGATAGTATCAGGGGTCCTGGAATCAAGTCAGTGCTTTGGGGCAATGAAGCCAACCTGGAGGGCCTTGAAGGCTAGACCAAGTGTCTTAGAGTCTGCCCTGGAGAGGCATGGTGGACTCTGAGCAGGGCTGAGCCATCCTGCTCATGGTCAGGCCAGCATGGTCATCTTTCCTCCAGAGCTTGAATCCAAGCAGAACACCAGGGTTGAATTTAAATCCAAGCTGTAAGCTCTGGGCTTTCTGGGCATTGCACACTTCAGATGCAGAACTGGAACCTCGCAGAGCCTGCCCTGATTCCACAGTTTACACTTCCAGAGTCCCAGGCACCAGCGCCACACAGACCTGGCTCTCACTGTTGCTCTTGATAAGCTGATGACAACAGCCTAGAAGATGAGTGGCTCTGGGCAAGGCTCTCAGTTAGCCTCTTCTGCAGGGGCAGATAAGGACAGGCCCTGCTCACCTTGGCTGAAGAGGCAGCTTAGGCCTGGCCCATGTAGGCATTTGCTAACCATGCCAGCGGCATCCTGGGGGCCAGAGGAGGGGTCTCACCTGGGACGTGTCATGGTTGAAGATGACAGCATTGAGGTCTCCACAGTTGTAATGCTTGATGAGGTCCTCGGTGGTGTAAGGCGCCTGCAGGCTCCCGGCCCGCACACTCTCGTGCTGCAGCAGGGTCTGGTTCAGAGCAAACAGCACCTGCACGGAGGAGACAGATAGTGGTGAGGGTGGTGTTCAGAAATCCTGGCTGGCCTCTGAGCCTGGCTTTCCACTCTGCAGCCCTCAGGACAACAGATCCAAACGCCAGAAGGAGCATGGGACCTGGGTGGGGTGCTCCCAAATCCCCATGCCTGATGCCCGGCCAGCCTGCTGCCACCACAGCCCTCTGCCTCTGCAGGTTCCCACTTCTTCTCTGAGTCTCACTGCCTTACTAGTGACATGGCAGCATGACAATGGGGTTGGGAGTGGTGGGGAGAGGCAGGGGTTGTTTAATTATAGTGCTTACAAGTATCCTAGAGGGGTTGGCGCTGTAATACAGTTAAGCAACTGCTGGGGACACTGGCACTCCATGTGGGTACTACTTTGAGTTCCAGCTGTTCCACTTCCCTACTACTGTGTCTGGGGAAACAGCAGACAACAGCCCAGGCACCTGGGTCTCAGGACTCAAGTGAGAGATCCAAATGGAATTCCAGACCCCTGGCTTTAGCCTGGTACAGTTTCGGCTGTGTTGACCACTTGAGGGGAGTGAATCAATGGATGGAAGATTGAACTCTCTCTCATTCTCTTTCTGTAACTCTTTCAAATAAATGCATCTTAGAAAAGAAAAAGCCTAATATGAACATGGATTCACTTTGTACTCAGGAGTATTCCAAACAGAGCAACCCAGACAGAAACAGAAACAAAAGGCCCAGTGGGATGTCGGGGCCTAGTCCCAAGGCAGCATCTGGAAGCCTCCTTTTCCAGGGCAAGGCCTGGAAGGGCTAGGTATCCATGCTGCCCCTGGCTGCCTTACCTGGTTCTGGAGACCCAGCCATGCCCTGCCAGCCCTGCAGTCAGCAGTATTTGGCACCTGCCCAAGGTATGAGGGCCCTGGGAGAGAATCCAGCCCAGTGCTAACTGCAGAAATTAAGCCCCAAGTAGGGAAGGGCCTGGCTTAACACTCAGCTGCAAGCAGACTCAGCTTTCTCTGAGAAGTGTTACAGATTCCTCTGACTCACAAGGAAGGGGGAGATGCTCAGAATTGGCATTATTTAGCCCCAAAGAAAGACCTGTCACCATGGTGTAAAGTGTCGGGAGGTGGCTTAAGGTCATCTGTGCCTGCTGTGTCCCCAGCCACAGCTCAGGCCTTCAGTTCTCAGACTGTTCATTTGTCTTGCATAGTACCTTGCACAAGTGCTAGCCTCTTGGCTCGCATCCATTCATCTCTCACTGGGACCACTGCCAATAGTCCCTCCCATCTCCCTGCAGCCCACCCTTCTTAGCTAGCCCATTTGTTTTTGCCATGGCTAAAGTATATATATATATATATATATATAATATAGTTTATTTGAAAGAGAGAGAAGAGAGACTTTCCATCTGTTGGTTCATGCTTCAAATAGCTGCAATGGCCAGGACTGGACCAGGCTGACGTCAGCAAGTTCTTTCGGGTCTCCCACGTGAGTCCTGGAACCCAAGTGCTTAGGCTGTTTGCTGCTTTCTTGGGGACATTAGCAGGGGAGCTGGATCAGAAGTGGAACAGTCATGACTAGAACCGGTGCATATGGGATAGGGGTGTCAGAGCACTGGCTTAAACTCATTACACCATGGTGCCAGCCCCCACAGTCCTCTTTTAAAAATACAAATTCCCCACCTTTTCTTTCTTTTCTTTTTTTTTTCCACACTTTGTTGGAGTCCTGCTGTCCACAGGTTGAAAGGTGAGTTCATCAGTAGAACCTGACTACGCTCTAGACCCTGTTGTGGTAAGCAAGCTCTTTTCTCATGAGGTTCTGACACCTCCAAATACTCCAGCTCAACCAGCACAGCGTCTTCTGCTCCCAGCACATCCTCCCCTCCACACGCTGTTCCCCCACATGGAAAACCCTTTGCCTTCTCCATCTTCTTCTTGCAAACTCAAATCAGGCCAGCCAGGCCTTTCATGGATATCTCCTGTGAAACTTCCTAGACTCCCACCTGGCTGTTAGATGGAATGCCTCCCTACCTCAGCCCCCGCCCAGTTTATCCATCCCTTCTATTCATGTTGTTGGCCATGAACTTTGTAGCTCCCAGTGACTGTGACTCTGGATTTGCTTCAGCATGGAATATACTTGATCATTGCAAACAAAGGTCTGGAAAGCACTTGAGTGCTGCTGCTGTTGCTGATGCCCCATGCACTTCCATCAGGACCCCAAGGACAGGTTAGCCTGCTGGAGGATGCTGACATGCAAGGCTGACTCTCCGAGCTAAGGCCTTCCTAGACCAATCCCCAGCCAACTGGCTCCCAGCCATGTTACAAGCCCCGCCAAGATCAGCAGAGCATTCCTTCAAACAGACCCAGGGGCAACAGCAGTGAAGGCTACTGTTGTTGAAACACAACAACAGGCAAGTGACACCCTGTGCTTCTTCCCACCATGGGAAGGACATTCTGCTATTTTTGCTGTTTAGCGACCAGCCTCCCTCGGTTGGCTAGGTGCTTCTGGAAAACAGAAATTGTGCCTTTGTCTCTGAATACACAGCACAGTGTCGCTTCATCCTTTCTTTGTTGCTATGACACCTGCCCTGCTCATTTGGCTCTCCAGGGATGCCTCAAAAGCCCTGAGGAGTCATGTCTGGAACTTCACAGCATGTATGTGTATTTGTGTGTTTCGAGGCACACCACTGCAACCACTAGGGTCAAGAAACACACACTTTGAACCACAAAAGCTCAGGCAATTGACACACTCAGCCTAGACCAAAAACACCAACACAAGCAACACGGCCAAGCATGCACTCCGGGATCACTTCCTACATTTGTTAAGGCTGGCAGGAGAGCTGGGCTGTGCTGGAGACAACACCCAGGCTGCTCCCCTTCCCCAGCTGGCTGGAGATGGGGTCACACCCCCTTGCCGGCCCTACTTTCCTGCCTTCCCCAGGCCTTTCCACTGAAATCTGATCTGCAACCATCTGGTGCAGGGTGTCCATGGCAGCACTATGGCTGGGAATGGGACACAGGAGGCAAGGCCCTGTTGCTGTGGACATTGCTAAGGCAACAGGCACTTCCTCCTGCCTAGCACATGCCTGGGATGAAACTGTCCATATCGAGCTGATCCCCTCTCCATCCCCACACCCCTGCTAGGGGGCCCAGGACAAACTTCCCATGACCACACCTATGGCAGCGTACACCTGGCCTCCTTCCTTGCTTCTCAGAGTCAGCTGGGTGAAGGCACCACCTCCTGACCCATGGTGATTTCATTGATCTTGGGGCACCCACAGATCTGGCTCCCTGGGAACTAGTGTGATTCCTGGAGTGGCTTCTGCTGTTGTGTGATCCCCAGGAAGCCAGGAGGCGCTCTGGGGAGTGACTGTGTTCCAGTCTTGGCAGGTAAGAAATGTGGGGTAACTATTCTGTAAATGTGGCCCATAGGAGAGCAGATCCATGCTTCCGAGGAGCCCCTGGGAGGGCTCTGAGAAGTCACGGACATAGGCGGTTTTCAAACCTTTTTTAGCCATGGAATCTTTTTGCTGTGTTTTGTTATTGTTGTCCAAAGGAACCTTGCTTGGAACTCAAATTGTGGAGCAGTAAAAATGGAAACTCCCCAGCTGACGTCAGGGAAGCAGGTTGGAGCCTGAAGTCATGTAGGCTCAACCCCCTTGCTGGGCAGGAACTCCCAAGGCCTCTGTGCAGAACCCACAGATACCCAGAGCCGAGTTGGAGGACCACTCATCACATAAAAGAGAAGATACAGGGCTGGGAGCAGGTGGTATGGGGCTTGTGCATGATTATGCTGTGAGCTGGGGGCCGAGCTAGCTCAACCTCAGCTCTCCTGGCTACCCTTTGCCTTTGGACCTCAAGGCCGAGGCTGGATTCATGGATGGCCACCTGCATTCACACCCATGCTTGTTCTGGAATGGTGGCAAACAGCAGACCTAGTTGGGGTGGACGTTGTCTTGAGAATGTTACTGTCAGGTCCTTTTCTTGCTCTTAGAACTCTCGCTGTTCTGACCGCTGCACTGAACCTTGGCAGCAGCGGCAGCAGCAGCAGCAACAACAGCAAGAATGCTTGCTGATCCCAAACCAGTCACACTCCTGGCTTGGGAGCCATTCTTTGAGATTTATAAAGCAGTCTTCCTCCGTCTGTTTCTTGGAACATTGTTCATTGAGCACTCACTATGTGGCAGAACATTCTAAGCTCCTAGTGGTGTCTTTAACTTTTATAGAAACTTTGAGGCAAGGATGTGAATAACTGCACTTAGGGGAGTTAAAAAAGCTGCAGGATAGTGGTATGAAGTACCGTGCCAAGGTGACACTGTAGAGAGAGGTGGAGGGGGTATTCAGTTCTGCTCTGAAACCTGTTGCCCTAGTTAACCACTGTCAACTGGGGCTTCCTCCTGCTCTTTCTGGAACCCAGCCAGCAGGGAAAATGTCTATATTCACAGAACAGCAAGGGGAGGGATAGGCCCAAGGCCACATGGCTGGTAAAGACCAGAGCTGTGTGTGCAATGCTGTTTGGCTGTAGCCAGCTCCTGTCACCATGACTTCAATTCCACATACACTTCTTCCCAAGTGTTCTGGATGCTTCTGACTAACAAGACAGCCACACCAGTTCATCCAGGCAGCAGACATCCACTTCAAATTGCTTCTCTGTGGGGATCTGAGATGGTGGATGACTTGGGCATGATGTCCACCTGCATGGAGGCAGGAAGGTAATGTTGCAGCTGGTGTGGCCAGCACATAGGCTGTACCACTGAGGGAAGGCCCCAACTTCTGTGTCCTTCCCCTCCCCATTGCCTTGAATTCCCAGCCTGGGTACTGCTCAGACTTCCAGACTCCGAAGCTTTCTGCTCCCAGCCACCTTGGAATAACAAACCTTTCATGCATGTCGCCATGGCAGCCTGTACTAAGATGATGTTTATGATGAGTCTCAGACATGGAATAACAAACAAAGGGCAGGGACCAGAGCCACCTCCCTGCCTCTGAATGGCTGGATGGAGGCATGGCCACCAAGCCCTGGAGCAGCTCCAAC